CTATATTCGTTTGTAAATTTTTCGGACATTTTCTGCTCTTTCGAACGATCTCAGCGATAGCGTCAGCTGTTTTGCTTCCACTCTTGCTCTTGAATGGTATGGCCCACGCGTATTTGCTGAACACATCGATGACGGTGAATATGTAGTGGTGGCCTCTGTTGAAGCCCGAGTACGGGCGCATCTCAACGATATCAGCCTGCCACAGATCATCGTATCCCCGGACTATGATGCGCCTTCGCGGAAAATTTCTTCTCGCAGGAGCGCGCAATTCCTCGACGAGTTGGCGTCTCTCGGAGCTAATTTTCTCTCTCTTTTTCTTAGATTTCTTTTTCATGATTCGACACTTAATACACACAACAAGTGCAAGAAAATAATGTATTTTTTCTTACTGGTTTTTCTTACTCGACTAAATCGTTTCATGGATACGCGATTTAATTTATAATAATCAGCTTCGCAAAGTTCCTCGATGATCGACATCTCGTTGTCATGAGCATTATTGCCTGTTCGGTGCGAAGTGTCGAGCAATTGTAGACAGTCCACCAGCTCGTTGAGATCATCCCAGTGCACGTAATCGATCGCGTTGTCGTTCATTGCATGAGGTAATTACTTTCCAGATTTCTTCTTCTGTTTCTTGGGTGTGATCGACATCAACGGCGTGATTACGTGTTTGTATTTATATTCCCTGTTACTCAATAATCGACCCTGCGAAGTATAGTACTTGTGTTTTTGCGCGTTCGTCTCCAACAGCATGCTCTTGTGCATATCGTTTTCTGTGTAGAAAGCATCGTCGAGAATTCTCTTGAAAATCAACTCGTAGACCAGGTGTACCGGCGTATCGTACGCCGTCGATAATTATGTTGTCCACGTCATCCACGTTTATTGCCAAACATTAGCCTATCCTTATGTAGGTAAACGCCGTACTTGTGATCTATACCGCTTTCTTTATTTTGCGCTCCCCTTTATGAAAACGTCAAGTAAGCTTATGAAAATGTTGGTTTTATCACAATTCGACGGACCGCAAATGATCGCGCGTATAGTACTCAGCAGCATTTCGTCATGCTTGCGCTTCTCCACGTTGCCTCCCATCATTCGCGATTTCGCGTCGTAGTTCGTGACATACTTCCAACGGCAAAATGAAGCGGTGCCTCGTTATCTTTTCTGCCAATGTTGTGCGCACTCGGGTCCTTGATTGATGAAGCAGTGTGACGAAAACGGTAAATGATAGCAAAGCCGCGCGACGTCAGCTCGAGGAGCTGCAACGTCACGATCGCGCGATAGAACAAGGCAGCGGATTGTATCTCGCTCCGCACAAATATAGACGCGGACTGTATCTCAACCTCTATAAACGCGGATGTAGCAGCGAAGAAAAAAAAAACGCCAATGATAAAAATGCCCTCGGGTGCAACTACCAACGTGCAATTGGACATATTCGCAAGACGTATACGCGTACCGTACTTTATAGGTAATTTTCATGCGTAACGTTTTACCGATGAGCGGCGTGCATCGAAACAAAAGCGGTATCGTGAATCTAGACGATACGACGGAGCCTGGTACTCACTGGATAGCGTACGCGAACAGGAATAACCGCATCGTATACTTTGACGTTTCGATAATTTTCGACCGCCCAAGGTGCGATATTTCGGGAACGGCGCTATGACGATAGAGTCTTAGACGTACGATCAAAGCTTGCGGACAGATGTGTCTGCGGTTTCTACAAATAGTAGATGCGCGTGAATTTAAAAAGCTCGACGAAGTGCTGTGAAATCTCAGTATTAGTCAAACGCTTTTTCCGTCATGTCGCTGACGCTTACGCTGAGCGGGAAGAGTACCGTCCTCGCGAATTACTTTCTCTCCATAGATTTGAGTGACTATAATTATGAGCTCCGTTTTTGAATTTGATAATAGTTGCATTCTTACTCTTTAAAATTTGTCAACACTTGAGGGGACTTACAGTTTAACGCCGAATCGTGAACGCGAAAAATCGCGTATGTAGGGATCGAACCCGGATCCACAGATTGCGAATCAATCGCGCTGAACGGCGAGCCACTCAGCACTTTCTTGCAGACGGTTACTGGTGTAGCGAACCCAGTAGTTTGTAGCGCGCTATCCTCGATAAAATGTTTGTCTATTGCGATATTTGTGAGTCTTATACGTATAACAGATGCTGTACGTATTTCTCTTATCAGAGTAATACCAATCAAGATACGCAGTTATAATTACATAGTGCGAATTTAGTGAAGCATTTCTTATTTTCAAATTATATCGATATCACTGCGAAAAACGAATTTCAGAACGATTGAAGTATTATAGATATAAGAGATCATGTTGGAAAAAAATTCCATTCCAATTCAGAACGATGATAGTGACGCTGCAATTTAAACGTAAGCAATAACTTTCTTTCGTGTACGTGAGCTTGTCGATAGTGGCAATCTTTAATTAGAAATTCGCAATGGAATATGAGGAGAATTTTGATACGCGGCACCGGTAGCCGAGAAGGAATTCCACGTCGGTTCGCCCTACCAATGCAGACATGAAATCGGAAGTTTTCTCGGTGAATTGTTCAGAAAAATATCTATCTTACCTAAATAAAGGTGCACGTGCTGTCGAAAAAGAAGCTTTACGTGTGGGAATTAATATAATAGAAGACGTCGAAATAATAAGCCGTTTCGGGAGATAATCTGAAGAGAAAAACCAAAGAAAAAATAAGTTTCCTGATGAAGAGATATAAAATATCCGCGAAATCCGCGTCACTTTAGTTTCCACTCGGAAATAGTTGTACATCGTAAACGACGTCGGGCGGTCAAAAGAAAATCATCAAGAAGTACCACAAGGAAGAAAAGCAATAAAATGACGAAGAAAAAGAAAATTCATGGTGTAGGAAGAAAAACCAAAAAATTATTCGCTAGAAAACATTGAATATAAATGTAATGTATCCGACATAGTCTCTTAATTGAGATAGGAATTCGCGACTGGAGAAAAAGTATGTCTTTTCTTCATACTCACTCAAGCGAGTGTATAAGGAGTGAACTCGAACTTTTCTCTCTGCCTCCTACACAAACCAGCATTGAGAGCTCGCAATAGATTTATTACAAACCCGTAACTCGCCCGCGATAGAATTTGTCATACCCGGACGTGAAGACTATCTGGATCTCACTCACATCATATTGAGCTTTCGCATACGTGTAGAAAACGAATGCTGGGAGAGCACATCGGTCGCACCTGACGACGTGGTGAAGATAGGATCCGTAAATCATTTATTGCATTCCATGTTTCACCAAACCGACATATATTTCAATCAAAAGCTCGTGCCACCAAACACTTACGCTTACCGTGCGTACATCGATACGTTATTAAATTATGCTGCACCCTCAAAAACTTCTCACTTGATCTGTTGCTTATGGAACATGGATATTTCCGGTTACATGGTACGTTAAACTCGTCAAATCTAAATATTCGTTTAAGAGACGCGCGCAATGCATTCAAGGAAATCATACGCTATGTCTCATGAACCACCTTTACTGCGACGTTTTCAATCAAGATAAATTTTTAATTAATGGAATGGAAGTTAGAATAAAATTCGTTTACTCGAAAGATTCGTTTTCCCTTATGGAGAATAAAACGATACAAAAAATATGCATTCTTGCTGCCAGTCTACTAGTAAGAAAAGCAAAAATAAGTCCGGATGTGTTACTTGCACACGCTAGAATTCTGAGTAAAACTACCTCCAAGTATCCCCTTATGAGAGTCGAAGTTAAAACATTCACAATATACGCCAGCATCGTAGGGAAATCGACAATGCAATACTCGGACAGCTGCCGAAACGAATAATCGGATTTATCGATAATAAGGAGTTTAACAGCGATAGAAAATTAAATCCGTTTTATTTCAAAAATTACGGAATAAATTTCTTTTCGCTGTACGTCGACGGTATGCAAATTCCCAGTAGATCATTACAGCCAAACTTTTCGAAAGACGAATCGCTCTGCATTGCAGCTTATCACACCTTATTCTCCGGAACCGTATTCACTTTTTGAACGAGGGTAATTCTATAAGTACAGACGCTTACGCCAATGGTTACACTCTTTTTGTTTTCGATCTTACTCCAGATCTATCCGCTAATTGCGCAGAGATCTCGTGAATCACGGAAGCTTACGATTAGAAGTGAGATTCGAAAAGACTCTTTCCGTAATTGTTAATTGTATATCGTCTATGCCGAGTTTAATAATGTTTTAGAAATCGAATCCTCGCGTCAAGTCATTGTCAACTTTTCCAATTAATCCTATGTCTTTCGAGAAAATTTCTGCTCGACTACACATTCTTTTTTCTCATCTGATTGTACACAAGATGACGAAAAAAGCTTCAGTCTTGCTCGTAACACCGACGCTGACATTTCGTGACGTAAAAAGCGTAGCGAAAATTCGAATATCATAATGGATATAGTCATCGACATAGAAGATTTTCGCGATGCCGAAGAAAATTTTATTCCGAAAGAAGTCGCGGTTCTTGCGATTAATGTGAGGATTACCAGACACTGGATTATGATTTCACTTTATCCTTTTGGCGATTTACCCGAGAGAGTAAGACGAGAAAACAACTGGCTTACACGGAATCGAATGGTTCGACGGAGATGTCAATCGTAAATACTTTACGATACATTTGCGAAACGTTACACGACATGCACGCTACATTTATAGTAGAGAACAAGAGGAGGCACGTATTATATATATAATCCGGAAGGAACTTTTCCGGCTTTTAAAAATCTACCAGATTTCGAATGTCGAAGACAACGTTGTACGCATCACGGATTTCGAACCAACGTTACATTGTGCCTTATGCAACGCTTATAGATTGAAACATTGATTAACTATATGAAATAGCAGCAATTCAAGTTACGATAGTCTTCTCTCAGAAAATTGGAGCGAGAGCGACGTCAACAGCAAAAAAAAGGTAGCAAAAATTTTTCAATTCAAAAATCAGAAACATAATATAATCTGCAACATTGAAGAGTGAAGGAAAGATAACGCGAACTAAAGCGAGAACGAGGAGAAAAAAGAGACAAGCGATAGAGGACGAGAAAAAAGATCTTTCAAAATTCGACCCGTTGACTAATAGAGATAAAACTAACACTAGTGTCTTGCAATTGTCGATTATTTTTGAGAATTTCACATCGCACACGCCGGCAAAAGAGATAAATTTTGAATTTATTCACATTTCTTCTCTCACGCTCTACTACGATGATATTATGTATTTGCTGGAACTTTTAAACGCATTACATCATCTCAGTGTCCGACATGCGAGGATCTATCCTTTCGACTGACTGCCGAGAGTATGGACAAGATCGACTCTCATTGTCGCTAACATGGACTATTACGATCGACCTAGCCAACACTGATCGCCTTCTACTGATCGACAAACACAGAACAGGAATATTTCGATAGCTACGGCATGCTGCCCTTAAATTCAAGATTTCTCTTACGCCTGCCCCAAAACTCCTATACGTATCATTGGAATATGACGATGTTATAAAGAATTTTGTCAAACTTGTAGGCAATACTGCTGTATATTTCTACATTTTATGTGTAACGGTTATA